AAACCGCTGCCAGACGAGGAGGAACTTCTCAGGGAATTTCGGCAAACGCCGACCCCTGACATCGAGGCTCAGATCCTCGATCAATTGAAAGAGGTGGAGTACATCACCGGAAGCTCCAAAAATCTGCAGGAGACTTTCGTGCGGCGTTTTCGCCTAGCGGCCACTTCCGTGCGCGTGGCCACGACGGAAATAACCAAAAGGACCACAGTAACGGGTCCTGTCTCGCTCCTGGAGGCGGAAAATATCAGCCTCCGAGCGAAGGTTGAAGACCTGGAGGAAAAACTGGCGCGGCTCAGCACCGAGGTGGAGGCCCTTCGAGGCAGGAGACCGGCCAAGGACTGGGACTTGATGTCGCCTCCTCGTGTGCCGCCGCCCCCGAGACACGAGTCGACGGATGCGGGTTCGCGAGATCCCGCTCCGTCGACGTCGCCTACCAAAAAGCGGGCGGCGCCAAGAGGAGGGAGCAAATCGCAGGGAAAGTGTGGAGCTGCCCTCGACCAGCAGCAATCTCTGCTGAAGAAGATAGGGGCTCTGGTCGAGGGGAAGCTGGAGGAGTTCCAGAAAGATCCTGGACCTCCCCCTTCGGATTGGGCACACTGTGGGTGCAGAATCGCCAATAAGGTGGTGGCGGTGACACGCCTCCGGGTGAGATGGACCTCAGTGAGAGTGAAGGTCCTGGAGGCCCGCCCACTACAGTGCTATCGCTGTCTCCACGTGTCGCCATAGCGGCGACTCCGGTCACAGATTGGGGAGCAAGGCGTGCTCCCCACCCACCCGGGGGGCAAAGGCACCCCCCGCCAAGGCCACAGCGACAGATGGGGCTGTAAAAGAAAATGGGCGGGGCTTTTGCGGGGCGGAAGGAAGTCGGCCCGGAGGAAGCCATGGTGAATCGTTAAGTTCACAATGCGCCTCCTCCAGGCCAACCTTAACTACTGCCGTGGGGCCAGGATTTTTTCGAACAAGCCCTGCGGGAGTGGGGGTTGCACGGACCGTGGCAGCCGAGGCGTACTTCATCCCCGACCAACCTTCATGGTTCGGGGACGAGGACGGCTCGTTCCGCCATAGTAGTTGGGAACGTACCAGGTTCCCCGCCCTGTAGGGTCTTAGAGCAAGAGCGGGGATTCCTCGCCGTAATGTGGGGGGGCATGGCGGTGATTGGGTGCTATGCCCCTCCCTCTCGCACCCTCGAACAATTCGAGGAGTACCGGGAGGTGGGCGGCTGCATTGGCAGTGTCTGCATCGTCCGGTGTTGGTCCTGGCAGATTTTAATGCCCACGCATCTGCGTGGACGTCTCCCGGGACCGACGCGAGGGGGAGGGCAGTGTTCGATTGAGCGGCGGAGCGAGAACTCCGGTTGTTGAACCGGCGTTCAGTCGCTACGTGCGTGCGATGGTAGGCCACAGTCGATTTGACTTGGGCGAATCCTACCGCTGCGTGGCGTGTGGTGGGGTGGAGAGTGGCGGAGGAGATGGAGACCTTAAGCGATCATCTATACATCATGGTCTCTTCCTCCTCCGTCATGACGCAAGAGGAGCCACCCCGCCACCGCGGCCGTGATGAGGCCCAATCACCGCGCTGGGTGCTTCGGCGCCTGGACGAGGACGCCCTGATGGCAACCGTCCATGTCGTGGTCTGGTCCGTAGGTAATCAGACCGGATCCGTCGATCCAGCGGAGGGGTCTGAGTGGTTCCGGGGCGTGATGACGTCTATTTGCGACGCCGCAATGCCCCGGGCCAGACCCCTCTTTAACATCATTTTTCAAAAGAACGATTTAGTTGCGACCCAAGATTCCTTTCATGCACTTTGTCCTCGCGACGAGTAGAATACGCTACAAGCAACACAAAATTTGACTCTGAATTCCAAGGTCAAGGACAATTTTGCACCTAGTTTTTTGTACAAATGTACACCGATCCAAAGGTGTAGAATCCCGCTGTGGTGGTATTTACACAACCTTTTTATACACCCTGAACAACACATGAAAGCTCTATTAATACATCCACATGTTTTAGCCTTTATTTCAGTTGAGAATGCTGCCTAGTTTACATCAATGAAATGTTGTCGGTTTTTTGACAATCGCGATGCGGAAATATTGGATGCATAAAAATTTTGAACACTATTGCAGTATCGGGAGCGAAAATAGGGAAAATAGGGAGCGAGTTGTTGGCGTAGTGGGCACAACCTCGGCTTGAGCCGACGGGGTCCCGGGTTAGATTCTCCCGTTGGGTCCCTCAAAATTTTTCCGTCGGTTCCTACAAATAGGGGCTCGTCCGGGATTGAACAATATAGAAAACAAGCTTGAATAAAAATTAGTCGCGTGGTGATTGTGTATTGAGAGCGTAAAATTGTTAAAATTAGTGGGGAAGTGTGGTGAAACATTGACAATCGCAAAAATAAATTAAACGTGGAGTGCCAACGATACTATTGTCAAAATGGAAGAAAGGAGCAGTGGTAGCGACGAACTGACACGCGTTGAAGCTATGAAAATAACTGAATTATAAAAGACGAATTAAACCGCCGTAAGCTGAAGACGGACCGGTAAGAAGAAGGAGCAGCAGGATCGTCTTCGAACTTTCCTTGCGCTAGAAATGGAGCAGGGAAAGCACGACGATGAGGCAGAAGGCACTGAGAACGAAGAGAGCGGTGTTCAAGAGACATGCACCGCACCAGGGTTGCCGACAAACATACGCAATTGATAACCTTTAAAGATGTGGAGGAATCGATGAATACGTTTAATGGCGATGATACCGTACGGATACCTGTTTGGCTTCAGGACTTCGAGGAAATGACGGAATTGTGCGCTTGGAGCGATGTACAGCGCGTGATCTACGCGAAGAGATTGTTGCGTGGATCAGCAAGATTATTGTTGATTGGATTACTGCCGCGAGAACAGATCTAAGTCGTTTTAGTTGTTTAGTTGTTCAACCGTATTAGTTGTTAGTTGTATTATAGTTTCACCCGCGTTAATTTTAGTCATTAATAATTTTCTATATATCCTATATCAATAAAATATATCATCTTTTATTTTACTACACTATGTATGTCGAATGGAATCCGTTTTCATAGGTACAACTTTTTACATTTATTTCTGTTCAGAATGCCTGGAAATGGAAATCCCTTTACGTAATGTCATAAAATAATTTTACCTGGGCGTACACATTTTTTTACCTATGGTATAGAACATACAGTAAGTATGAAAATGAAAACGTTCTTAAGAATTTATTAGTCGTTTTGAACCATTCAAAAAGGCAAATTCAGTGCGAGAAGTTTGTGTAAGTGCTTGAAAATTATTTGGAGTAGAAGTGTGAAGTAATGGAGTGCAGTATGAATTGTGAAACTTCCTGTTCTTTGAATTTATCTCATCTCCTTTTGAAGAGGATTACGCAGAGGTAGAAAGTGTTTTCGATTTATTGCCACCAACCGCAACCTAAACGTTAACTAACAAGTGCTGTGATATACTGCGTAAATATATTAACTACACAGAAAATCATAAAACCTCTTGAGGGATACTATGGAAATTTGATGATGCGGTCTCGTTTAATGAGGAAGACATTTACTGAAAAAATTTCAAAAATTATCTCTACCCATACTTTCACGGACAATGAAGAACACCAGTTCGATAATGAAGAATGTGCGGAGGAAACGGATCCTCATGACGGCATACGAGATCCACCCACACAAAAATCATCGTCAATCATTAGCGATGAATCCGATAATGAAACTGCAATGTTCCATTATCGGTAAAAGCAAAAGTGGTTTCCCTTGCCAGGATTCATCAGAACTGGAGCCTGCAATCATTACAATCCAAAGGAAGCAGGCTTCTGAAGTCAAAAACACAGTTATCAAAATGGATAAAACACGTTGAAGAAGGTGGTTCCATGCAGGATAAATTAGAGCAAATAGATACCTACTGTCCGACAAACCAAAGATGAAGTCTCAGGCTAGAAGTAGTTTGGGCCTAGAAGTAGGAGATGTGGGAGAACTTGCGACGGCTCGCTGTTAGTAAGCCAATAGGGATAGAATAAGGCTATCGCTGTTACTCTTAGGTCTTCCTTTATAGTCAGCCAATAGGGATAGAATAAGACTATCGCACTTACTCTTCTATGAACAATAGATGACGATTGGGTCTCGTTCGAGCAGTCGGTAAACAGATGAGCAGTCGATAATTCACCGGAATGATATTTTCAAGCGCTCGAAAAAAAATTAAGTTTACGTCACGCAGACACCATAAACAGGCGAACAGATGACTGCGCGACGCCAAACGACGTGCATCATGGTAAACTTTACTTTTTTATCCCATGTTCCCAAAATTTCTCTATTATTTTGATAAGCTTATTTTACAGGTTAAAGTTCAAGCAATCCAATATTATTTTTTCCAAATTATTCTATGAGGGGGAACAGTGTCAAATCAGCAATTGAAACTTTAGAAGCGATTATTGTTATGTTTGCTAATAATGAATAAATTTCTGTATATACAGGGTGATCCACACAACTTGTTCACCCTGAATAACTTCTGAAGTATCCATTGTATGAAAAAATTTTTTATAGAAATGTTGAATGGTTTGGAGATCTTTTTTGTAGATGGAGGCGTTTCGGAGATTTCAAGGTCCACTTCGGTTTTTTTATATGGAATGGCCACGGCCTTTCGTGTTCGTTGTACCCGCTTTGCCTACTCGTGTCGCAGGTTTTTTCCGAAAACAAGCTCGACCATATGATCGGCCCGCTCCGGTCATTAACTTCCTGCATTACTGATAATAATAAATAAAAATACTGCTGACACTAATGCAAAATTTGAAGCCAGCACACTAACAGAATACAATGGACTGTAAAAATGGTTAATGGAAATCTAGGACAAAGTCCCATAAGGTAGTAGGTCTATTTTATATCTCGTCTGTGGTTTGGACGAATAACATAGATAAACATTATTATACAGTACTCACGCGGAAATGAACGAGATTGATAAAAGCACAATAACAATACACCAAATTTATATTGAAGCTTACTTGCCCCTTTGAACGTCTCCCCCTTCAGTTTCGTCAAGGCATTGTTCCTAAGTAACAAAATCTCAAGGTCCTCTGCCCACTCGAAATCACCCGACTGAATGTGGAAGATTTTGTTATAACCGAGGTTAAGGTGCAATAGCCTCTGGCACCTAATTTGAAAACATCGAATATGACTATAAGTAGTCGCTGTGCACATACGCGCACGCGTACAGGGGAAAAATTTAAGAGGTAATTCTGGAAGCTACAATAAGATGAAAATTAAAAGTAAGAAAATAGCATTTGAGACTTCGCTTCTAGTAACTGAAATATTGAAGTATAAAAATATTCTTGTAACTGATCAGCCCTCGCTACACCAACGAATATGGGGAACATCAAGATACGGGGGTATAGTGATCCTAAAAACCGACGATACATGGTCGATACCCCACCTCGTACAAGCCGCAAAGAAGAAGACCGTAATATTCGTCATCGTAAACAGCATTGACGATGTTACGTTCCGAACAAATTCTATTTTTTATTTATTATGCTTTAATTGTTTACCGACGGGAATGCGATTTGATAATGCAAATCATTGTAGGAACTCCTTAATCGATCGCAGACGCAGCCTTTGGAATCAACCTTCCTCGGAATCAACGCGGTTCATCAACAGTATAATTTAGATATACGGCAAACGGTACCGTATCTTCTTGGAACTCGCCCGTAAACCGAATGTTCACTATGCATTTTAAGGGTGTCGAAATATTTATATCGAGAACAGGACATTCTTAGTTAAAATTCAGGATAGCATCTCTGACATCTACAAAATCAATACTGGCGTTCCCTAGGAGAGTGTTTTAGGGCCCGCTTTTTACACACTTTAATCAGCCGATATCCCCACTAGACCAGATAATACACTACTCACATTTGTTGATGACACAGCTATATTAATTACTCACGATGAACAGTGGCTAAATCATTGGAAAATAACTAAAAATACGGATGAATACAACCATATCATTTTCACCTTAAAAAAAGGCACTGTACCTCCTATCATACTCTATCACCACATCATACCACAAACCAAAACAGTTAAATATTTAGGACTACATCTAGATTCCAAACTTATTTGGAAACAACGCGTATGTACATAAAAAACCCTTGACACGCCTTTCATTCATCGGTGTAGGAAGGTTTGCTCGGCTACAGGGATATTGTTGTATACCGACATTATCTAATATTCTAAATCGCGCTTTACATTTAAGTATCAGCCTTCCTTGCTGATTTTGTAAATACTCGATAACCAATGACTTCATCCTCTCCTTGCCACTCATCCTCGAATCTCGACCTCATGACCTCATCCTTTCCTGACTAACTCCGACTCAACCTTGGACTCTGCCATTGGTATACCAAACCCTTAGAAATCCTAATTCCCACTCCTCAAAATACGAATTACACCTTCTTCCTCAAAAATCCAAGAATAGTTCCTTGACCGTTACGGACGCCGCTCCTTAAACTATAGAACAGTCCGCTAACAAGATTATTGTACTTTGTCAACGTGTCTCCGTTCCGTGATACTTGTACGTTGTTACCTAATAAACAATCGGTATACGGAATACAACAATATTTCTAAAAGTTATTAATTAAAAAACGAAGCTAGGAACGTAATTTTTTTATTTTTTATTTTCATCTCATTTTGACTTCTATAATCACTTCTTAAATATTCTCCCAGGAACGGCCAAACACCTTGTATATGAAGCAATCCAAAATACACTAAAAATGCTTGAACCATATGATGGACGATGAACCGTTCCATCAGAACGAACTAACTGCATTATTACTACATTATTACAGCGCGGACCACTTTCAACGTTGTTTCAAATAAATCTAATATTTCTATTGGAATCTGTTGCAAGAAGTACTCAGCGTTACAATTCGAATGCGGTCACTTCATTCATTTTGTTTCATCTCGTCACAGGCATTGTACCATTATCTCATCACTTTTATTATTACATTTCTTTTGGTTTTTTTTATTAGTAGTTTGTTGCAAGAAGCATTCGGCGTTACAATTCGAATGCGGTGACGGTTGCCGGCGAAAGCTTTTTACCGGAGCCCAACGACTCAAGCAAAAACTGTTTTACTTGCCGGCGTCTAATCTCAGGCACACGCATTCGCGCACACACCTAGCCGAATGTTTGGGCCCGGGCTAGACGCCGGCAACCGTCGCCGAGGGGCATTGAACTGGCTCGCTCCATCTCGCTCTGACTGCCAATAATGACGTCAGAAGGGCAGTAACCTCGTCGAACGATCGTTCATCGATGATCGGCTACGGATCTTTTTCAAAATCCCTACAATCAAGATCGTCGGTGGCGGTCCCTCGGCGGGGTATAAAACACGGACGAGAAGACGCGACTGTCCTTTCGGAATCGCTGTCCTAATCATTGCTCTGCGACGTTACGCGCCTATTGCTATACGAGTCTGTGCTACGGAACATATTGAAATACTTGTACCAGCGCGCTCCACTGGGTTTTTTTTCGTTCGCGTGCTAGTCATCGTTGTCGTCAATTATTCTCTGTACCTGGTTATTTGTGTGTCATTGTACTATCTACCTCTAGAGTAAAATATACGTGTTATGTATCTACCAACTGCACTGTCAAATCCTACCACTAAAGTCAAACGAAACAAAATCAATTCCAAGAAACGTTCAATGTACATTATGATCATTTTAATTTTAGAAGTTAAAAATTTGGTTACTTTATTTATATCATTTTGCAAATATGAAAAGATCAAAAAGAAATCTATGTATCAAAGTAATATTTGTAAAATGCTACTAGGTATTAACTTTTTCAACAGCTTCACTTAATTTAAAATTTGTTGAAAACTGTTAGAATTATGGTAATAAATTAAAAGATATTATTTTAATTATGAATCTTCTTTATTTTGATACGCGAGGAAGGCACGTCGCTACTTAATCAATCAGACAAACATCGACAAGACGCTGAGAAAAAAAACGTATCAGCGTCACCCATACTAAACAGATGGTTACTATGTTATTTCTATATATATATATATTAATCTGGCTCAGTATGTTGATTATTTTTGCTGTTACTATTACACAGACACATACTCATTTCTCCTTATAATCCAACAAAAACCTTGTATCTCATACATATGTATGTATTCTATTGTTACTTTCTCCATGCTTGCAACAGAGTTAACCCTCTATGGGCCGAATATTTTTCTTGACTGTAAAAAAATTTATGTAACGTAAAATTAGCAAATATCGACCTATAAATACAGAATAACAGTGAATTCAGCAGTTTCGACAATTTTATCATAACGAATACATATTGTAACTTTGAAGTAACAACGGTTATCAAGAAAGTTACTGGTTAATAAGGAGACATTGTACAACAAGACGTTTATGCCATTTTGTGGAAGAAAGTTCAATTATTTAATAAAATATCGATATATTAGTATGTGACTTGAAAGTTACACGGGCCCATAGAGGGTTAAGTTTATTTTTGCATGTTGCTTTTCTAAATTTGTAAATAAATGAGTCACATTACACAGGAAATGGTGCGAATCATTATCGATTAAGTAAAAGAACCCATTAGAATGTGTTTTTTATACATTTCAGTGCATTTAAATTTGTTATCTTTGAAAATATTATCCATGAAAAAAGATCACTTTCTATTTTAGCAAATTAATGCAAATAAGTTAAAAGAGCAAATACCTGGACAGAGCCGCAACGGGAACCGCATCCAAGCTGTTCGTGGCTAGCGAAAGTGCTCGTAGATCCTCCGCGAACTCGTGAAACGCGTCTCCAGATATATTCCTTATGTCGTTATTGGCAAGATACAGGTACGACAAGTTTCTCAGTCGACTGACTGCATTAGGAACACTTGGAAGGTCGTTGTTCTCCAAATTCAGATACTCTAAAATGTCTTCCAATCCTCGAAAAGCGTTATCGTCAATATTTTTTACAGAATTCGTGGACAAATGGATCCTCTTAATTTCCAGACGATCAAACATTCCAGCAGGCAATAAAGTTAACTTATTGCTATCCAAATTGAAATCTTTAATTCTTAAAGTTCGATTAGTTAAGCTCGGTGTACGAATCCACTCTATGCAATTTTCGCTGACATCAACCAATTCTAGGTTTGAACTTTGAAAATCGGGCAGTTCAAGGTTCTTAAAGTTGTTACCCCGCAAATATAGCCACGTAAGATCTTTTAATGCTTTCAAAGAAGACGGAAAAGATTTCAGAAGGTTACTGTTTAAACTCAAAGTGTGCATGTTTCGAGGTAAACTATCTTCTGAAAATTCTTCGATATTATTGTTGTCGAGATTCAACCAAACTAGAGATTCGAATGTAGAAAATATCTTTGGTATCTCGATTATCGAATTGTCTCCGAAAAAAGCGTTTGTTAGCGTATCCTTTGTGTACCCCCAATCGCCATCCAGTGATGTTAAATGATTACTGAAAAAGAATTGTTCTATCAGTTTGTTAGATACTTTCTCTAGGTGTTAGATAAATCACATAAATATACAATATACCCAGCCAGTTATATTTGCGTAATTAATACATTTATAAAGATTTGTTTACGCCTAATAGTTACAATGACTGTATCTCTTTCTTTTTGTGTCAAAGTTTTAACGTAATTGTTAAGTACAGCGGTTTATGACACGGACGTGCCAAGGAGGTTCTTTTTGAGATTAGTACTTTTAGTTCATTATTAGCATGTTTTAAGGATCAAAGTGCGCCCTGGCGAGAGAAAAATTAAGTCCTTTTCTCTCGTCCTTAATAGCCATACCGTGTCATAAAATGGGCCTTCCGAAGGGTGACTCAGGATTTATTGAAACTGTCACAGGATCGACGTGGTCACAGCCCGAAGAAAATTCCGTGCTGTTGTCAAACGTTCGCCACCTACGTCAAACTACCGTCATCCCTTCCCCAAAGCAACGTGCTAAGGGCGCAAGAAGAGGGTGGTCACGGAGATGAGGCACGTTGATTGGTCGACTAAAAATGTAATAACGAACTAATTAGCGGGCATATCCCTCGGAGGAACTAGTCCTAATATGTATAAAAGGATTGGAATCGCCGAAAGAAGGATGAGACAAAAAAGAGACAAAATTGTAACAAGTACATATAAGACACATTCGACACCTGAATGAGTGATAACAAGTAATTCGCGACCAGTTTGCGATATTCGACAACCAGATAGCGATTCAGTGCAATACGTCTGGTCTACATTCTGTTGGCACATACACATAAATGCAATAATCTACAATGCCAAACCGACCTTCCTAAAACGAAGCGCGGGAAGTTGCGTTAACAGTAATCAAAGTGTTATGTTTGATAGTTTAAAACAGAGGAGATCTCGAAGTTGCTCTATATGAAGTGGTCAGACAAATTCTAGGCCTGTGGTGGGGCATTATATGACTGGGGTAGTGATCGCTTGGCCTGAAGAAGCAGTAGTGATCGTACGTGCTGAGAAAAGTAACCGATGCACAGTGTTTCGCATATATTGTACAATGGGCGTTCGGGACAAAACTCATAACTTCTAAACTAATCAATTTTCGACCTAAGTCGTCTAATACTTTTTTGTAAAGAATTCACATATGCATTGATTGATACGTCAAAAAATATGTTTTCATTAAAAGAAATTGTAGTAACATTTTTGTAAAATTCCACTAACGCAATTTACTATCAACTGATTACCGATTAATTTTTATTTGAACAATTTTTTCATCAGTTCCTCGGAAATACTTGAAAAATCGTAGCGATCGTTTTGCAGACGCAAATATCATAACTTCCTATACAACATTCACAATTTTTCCTGTATTTGTTTTTTGTAATTTTCATAACGTAGAATAATAAAAAAATTAAATAACAGTTTATATAATAAGAAAATCGGTAACAAAATTAAACGTGATTCCACGCCAAATCGAATACTTTTTGACGTCGACATCAGGGATTTTGTTCCAAATGAAATGCAATAATGCAGTACACGTGAAATTAGTTGGGGTTTAAAGCATCATTTAGCTGGTTTCGAATTTGTTTAAAAAACCATGGAGGATTGGCCGTGTATTGTTCAAAGAAGGACAAGAGAGGAGTGTTTAGACTAACAAGTGATTTATCGTTTCACGAGACCCACGAGTGAGGTTTAGAGGCTACGTTAAGGGCCCGAGCGGTGAACGCGAATTACGATTTTGATTATTTCTTCCGTTTCGGGCAAATTCGGGCAGCTGAAGTTCATGTTAATATAAAGTTTAATGTTCCCTAAATTAATACAGAAAAAATTACGGAGGTATTTTTTGGTATATCTTTTAAAAGACTCATCAAAGTTAATAAATATTTTACACAAAAAATAGTACAAATTATTAGTACTATTAAAAAAATTGCTCCGCAGTTTTGAAGGTATGATAGTACTAAACACAATTTATAAAAATCAAATTAAAAGCATAAACATTCCGCCAATGACACGTATTTGAAAAAATAATGAGAAATTTGGAATGAATTTCTAGTATCATTTTTTACTTCAATATGGTAAATTAGGCAAACGTCATGGGTAATATTAAAACCTCCGTTCCTTTATTAACACTTTAAGATACAAACGATTGTGAATCAAACACTTCAGATTTTTTACTTTTGTCCATTGCATGAAACACTGTACGATGGTACGAAACACTTTCCGAACGTAACTCTAGAGGTGTGTGAGAATCCGAAAATTTCGGGTACCCGATACTCGGGTCGGAACGGGAATTATTTCGGTCAACTCGGGACGTTCAAAATTTGCAGAACTGTGTTTCAGAACGAACTTTGTTGAATACGACCGTGAATTGGAAGTGTTCACTATCACTACTAGTACACTTTCTTCAGAATTTATAAATTTCGATAAAACGAAATGAATATGTAGGTAGGTAGTAGTGATTGAGGCTTCCGGGTGTAAGCCGTGTCCAAAAGGAAGTTCGTTCCGACGTTTCGCCAGCATTGGAGCTAGCTTCATCGGGGTCTGAATTTTTAATTGATCTATCTATCAAAAAATCCGGCTGGCTGAATCAACGATCCGGAACATGGACATGGGTACATATAGGAGTGAACATCCTGACGCACACCAATATCAGTGTGTCTTCACACTCTCATGAAGCTAACTGTAATGTCAAGGAAACGTCGGAACGAACTTCTGTTTGGACACGGCTTACACCCGGAAGCCTCAACCACTACTACCTACATATTGATTGTCGTCCAACACTTGAGAGACAAGGAAAGGCTGGAGCACAGGCTCCTTGACATTGGAGCTACATTATTGAAGATCTTCTACATAATCTGGCATAATCTACATAATCTACAACTAAAGAAGACTTAAAGCAGAAAATTAGGAGACCTACCGGGGATGAGGACCCGGGGATAGTCTTCGTGAGACCAAGTTATGCAGAAACTAAAGTCGCGTGCATACGGCTCGATGAAGAGGGAGCTAGAAAACTGGTGAAGGCTGAGTCTATCAGGATTGGATGGTGCAGAAGCAGAGCGAGCCCATTGGAAGCAATTACGAAGTGCTTCCTCTGTGGAAAGACAGGGCACATGAAATCTCAATGCAACCTAAAGTAAAAGAAGTGCTATAGATGTGGTGTGCCGGGGCACGACGCGCGTGTATGTAGATTCAGCAATCAGCAGCCGACAGAAAGTATGGATGGTAGAAAGAATATCAAAGACAAATGGTGATATTCCTATAATTCAATTTTCTTGATTGATGGGAATCGGAAAACTTAAAGGCCAACTTGTAAGATCTTAGAGTTTAGAGGAGATGACAGTAGAAGTTAACGTGGTGAACAGGGCAAGGACAGTTGGAACCCAGACGGCGATGAATGTTCCAAGCAGGGAAGGAGGCTCGTGGGCTGTGCGGATAGGGGCTAAGGTTCAATATTTAAACTGTTAACGCGAAAAGTGCCACGTGAAATTGGCGGAAAGATGAAAGGGATGCCTGCACCTGTCACTTCCCGTCGATTTTCGGTGACAATCTGGAGAGACCAGGAGAAAATGTAGAAGTGCAAAAGCGTCCAACAGTGTGGATGGGAGGTTCAGCACACGTGCATGGTACTCGCGTGGACAGGAAATACCGAAGGAGACCACAACATCCAGGTTTCTTCAGGCCATTTTTCTACTGTGGAGAACGAGGGAGGCACCATTACCTCCCCCTCTCGCGGTAAAGAGCGTTTTTGACGGAACGACTGTTTCCACAGGACATCAGCATCTGTTGCCTGCAAGACAGTTGGAGGACAACGTTGGAACGCCTCGAACGTCGACAAACAGGGTAAAAGTGTTTTTAGGCCAAATTTAACGATACCGGTAATGGTGCATTGATGTGAGCCGGTTGACGGACGTACCGTTTATGTAGAATTTTTCGCCTATGTAGATTTTTTCCGTGAGTAATAGTAGGCTCTCCCTCATTCCGGATGGAGGACGATACGAACAAAAATTACGAGGGCAATGAGTAACGTCATTCATTTTTGTGGACTGTAGCATGCCTGTGAACTGATTCGCGGCCACGCGTGACAAAAGGCAAATCGCGAAAAGTATCGCTCCAGGAGAGAACTGTGATGCTATCTCGCGGTAAAAACTACACTACCGGCCAAAAGTTTGGAATCACTACATAAATTAAGAGAAACAGGATATTTCTAAGA